ACGAAGTAAATGCTCAAAGTACTGTACCAGAACGAACTGGATAAAACAGGCTTTTAAGCCTAACACGAGGAAGAAGGAGATTTGACACGACTTGAGCATACTCGAATACAGTACGCTACTGCTCGATTACACTTGAATTTGCTAATCCCGATCTCCGTACGCCCGTACGGAACGATCGGAACCCAATTTCCTGAGGTTCCCAAATCACAACTGCGCTCGTGAAAATTTTATTGTCGTCATACACTCGCAACGCGGAACGACTTCCGGCAATGCTGGAGAGCATAACTCACAGCAGGACGAATTCAAATATCTGGTGGTAAAAATCGACGCTCGTGGCGAGCGAGCCCGGCCGTGTTAAAACGTCGCTCCATTATTCCGGCCGAGCCGGTGACTTTTACGAGCGCAGCACGAGCGGTCGTTGCAGTTATCGCGGCGTTACATCGCGGAGTTACGTCGCCGTAACGATTGTTGCGGGATGATTGTGGCGCGCGGCCGTATTCGGCGCTTTGCCGATCGCAACGAGATTCGGCGATTGAGACGTTAATTAGCGAAAGATGCGCTCGCCGTCTCCCGATCCGCGCCGCGGGATCCATTCCCGGCTAATTAACTCGCCGCGGCGAGCACCTCGGCGCTAGTAAAAAGCGTCGCGGATTAATCACGACGCGCTATATCTATATACGACGCCGTCGTTATCGTCGTCATTTCTCGTCGACGATGCGACGTCGTGGAAGTCCTACGACGACTAGCCCGACACGGACCTCACCTAAGGCGACGTACTTGCGGGCGGGTTAGTGACTTCTCTTTGCATATCGCAGGTAATCTGGTCGAGGGCTCTGGCTTTTCAGAGCGGGGGCGATTCTCGACTCGCGCTATCACTCACTCCCGGTGTAATCGTGACGCGCGCCGCACCCGCGATTATGACGTCTGGTAAATTACGTACTATGGTGCATGGCATGATACGTACTATTTATAGTAACCGCACGATAATGCACCTGCGCGTTTCTACGCGCCGGAATATACGCGATTAGAGCGGAGCGGAGGGAAGGGGAGGGCGCGAGGGCGGGCGGGGGCTCTTAAATACGGCTTAGGATAATTCCGAAGAATGTAACCGCTTTGAAAAAGAATGAGGCCGGCTACGTTTCGTGACTTTAATGACTCTAGAGGCGAAATAAACAAGCTCTGCGGCAAATGAAAAGAACCCGGTGTACACTGCGCAGATGCTAATGAAGAGTTATACAATGCTCAACTAATTCAATGTGGCAATAACCAACTTTGCTAATTGGTGGTGGCTACATGTAAATGCCGCGTATTCGTTTGACATAATAATATGGCGGCATTAATTAGCATTAATAATAGCAATGCGGACCTGTCAGTCTGAAAAACGTCATAATAATGCCATAATAATGTATATCGCGTTGTCATATAAGCTTCATCTAAACAGGCAATGTGTATTCGTTAGTAATATCTATTTCTACTTCTGCGCTTCAATTTATTAATTTTCTTTTAGCCAGCCTTCAACATAAAAATTGCCAGATACGGTCAAACTTGAAGTTGGTAATTATTGCTGGCGACCTTGAGGATTGTTCCTGTTGGTTTATTAATTTTCGCCCCCTCTGGCACAGATGTTAATCAAAATTTTGCTATTATTCATGTACTGCACGGCGATATCGTAGTAAATCATATTATCGATCCTCCGAGAAGATTGTCAGAGTCGCTCCGTTTAGCTATCCGTTAAAATAAGCAGCCTCTTTGTCTGGTACCTATTACGTAAATAAGGAATTTCCCAAAGAGGCCACCGATATCGACGGCCGCCATTAATCAGTGCTAATGTGTTAACGATATCAAATTGCAATCGCACGCATAATTGAGCCGCGGCAGATAATTCGATTTGTGCCGCAAAATTCGATCTCGCGTTGAATCTCCGCCGGACAAGTGTGGCGGAAATTCCGATCTTGAAGTATGTTGGAATGTCGAAATAGCAGAGGTCAAAATATATTGAAATAATTGTTCGGCTAAGACAAATAAATTCGAATAGGAAATTGCTGGTTCACGCGATACAGCGATAACATAAAAATTTTTCAAACATTTAAATACCACAAATAACAGTACTTTTGCGTAATCTAACGCAGCTTTAATTAAAACTTTTCAAATTCTTATTTTATTTTATTTTCAACGTCCATCGATAACTTAAAAATTTTCCCTGCTTTAATGCTTCTCTATCTAGCGATAACTTTCTTATGTCAGAGATGTGGTGTATCATACCCGTTTGAAGTCTGCTAACTGCGATAGTCTGCGATAACGTGAAATCCAGGTCATAATTACGTAATTAGGTCGGCAATATAAAAAAAAATGGGATCGTCGTGGGCTTCGGAATAATAAATGAAGCGTCGATGTAACCGTATCGATTTGGTCGGTGTATCAAGCGTAACCTTTCGTCGGGGATGAATCCGCGAGGAAATTTGGCGAAAACAAGATTAGTGTAAGATATTACAACACGGGTGCAAACATGGTAGTTTTATCTGGGGAGATAAAATCTGCGAGAACGAGATCCTAATTTATTGTTCGCCTGACGAGCGTTTCACTTTTTCGCGGCGCGCTGTATCTCCATGCGCGACGGTGTAAATACGCGTGCGGTATCACCGCAATCGCAACTACGGTAATAAACCGCTGTAAGTTGCCAGGTTGCGTTATTTGCGGTCGCTATTTCATTTGCAGTACTATATACCTGGTGGAAGATACGGGGGATTGTTCAATGATGTGGTTATTTCAATCAAGGCCTGACAAGTCCGACATTCTAAATCTAGTGGAACCTTTTGAGAGACTGTAATAAGAACCGATAACTGTATTAACGTCGGTAAGTGGACTTTTATATTACGTATTCGTTCCAGTTTACCTCTCCCTTTACTCCCAAGAAACACCAATGGCAAAGCCTCAGAAGCCTCAGACAGACGGAAATAAGGTTGCCCGTGGAAATAAATTCTAATCCCGTTTCCCCGTAACAAACGCCGGCGCTAATTTCGCAATTACGTATTCGCTGTCTTAGTCCGCTTCCCGACAGCGCGGCCAGGAAGAGATCTTCATCTGCCAGTCGCGCGCGAATGGGACGACCTTAATCCCTAAACGTCACGTCAAACATTTCTCTCTCGCGGCGCGACGGGCGGGACTTAATTCCATAAAAGACAAACTCGCGTCGCCGGGAGAAATTCAATTTGTGTGCGAGTTTTGCATAACGAGTACGCCGCGATGGCCACGTATATATAAGCCCGATAGTTTCTCATTAAACCACGCTGACCCAGAACCAGATCCCACAGCGCGAGCACAATGGCACCAACGTCGGGGGTGACCGCCCCCTCGGCTGCTCGACCGGTTCAATTGGATGTACGGCTTGCATACCGATAGTCTCGCGGGGACAATACTGTGCGTAAACCTGTATACGCCTCGACACGTATATACGTGTTTTCCGTAGTGACGCAAGCACCGCTATAACAACACGTAGAATTGACGCATGATATGACAAAGAGAGAGAGAGAGAGAAAACAAATTCAGTACACTGTGAGCTAGAGGACTCCTTATTTTCCAACAATTGCAGGCGGCTTTGAAAGCTTTCGCGAGCAGCCGGCTCGCATTGAATTAAAATGCGCAACCTGCGTTCGTCTCGACATTCATATCAGATTTGGAAAACAATCGGGGGAAAATTGTACAACAAATTTCCAAGCTGTTAACATTAGATTAAAAAAAATTTCCAAGTTGCAGATATTGCCCAAAAAAAATCTGGCGAATGCGCCCTTGAAAAGCCACAAAGCCAGAGTATCGTAAGTAGTTTCTTTCATGGGAACGCAAATTTGCGACTAAAAATATTCCATATGCAGCTGTCGCGCGTTGTTTGGTGAGCGAAATCGGTTGCGACATTGAATGCATGCAGAATGCACATTGAACGTGCTCACGTATCGTGTATCGCGTATGTATCGCACTCTGCGAAAGCTCACCGGTGCCTCGATCCCTGACCTACATGGACGACGGAACCTCAAATGGTGGTTGATATACCCCGGAGGATTTCTGAGACCCCGGCTCAGCGCTCACTTGCGCGACGCTCGCACTCGCGACGAGGCTTGGCACAGCGAAGAGAACACAGCGACGCTTCGTCGCCTTTCGCGTATGACTGAGATAAAAGTTTATTGGTCTTTCGGGGAAAATGTCGCCGCGGTCCGCGTCCTGCTGCGCGACTTACAGCTCAACATTTTGCACGGCGCGGTCGTGTCGGAAGAAATTGTTTCTCGTTACCTTTCGCGAGGCACCGCGGGCGTCGCGAGCTCAGGTGGCGTCGCAAAATGTCGCTCGTGATTTCACGACGGAGGTACGCGAGATTGGGTGGACGATATTCGCGGCAAGATAAGACATCGCGGAGGAAATTCCGCTCTGGTTTTTAAACGGTACGTACCTCGAAACTTTTAGCACGCTGTCATTTCTATCTGTACGCATAAGATTACATAAGTACCCCAGGCTAAAAATGCCGATATTAATTAATAAAACAATTTTTCTGAAATGTATAAATCATATCAAGTTGAAGTTCTTTTCTTCGCCAGTGAATAAAACAACGGAGGTTTAAAAATTATTCGACGTAACTGGCTGAAATGTTTCTTCGTTCGAGACACAACGTTTCGACAGTGAAGTTCCTTTTCAATACTTGCAGGGCAATCGCCTAACAATTCTAGATCTGAATCTAATTAAGACTGCAATTATAACAAATGTGTAAAACTGTAGTCACGGGTATTGTTTCATTACGTCGAATAATTTTTTAACAAGTGCATAAATAATTCTTATTTCTCCTAAATTTTAACAATTAATTCCTCATTGGAAAAATCTAATGCGCCGCATCATCGTGAAGAAATCGCGCGTGTTCTTTCTCCAAATTGAATCTTGCGAGGTATGTAAGACTAAATTGCAATAATTTCTGCACCGTATTGCAGACTGGCTTAATTTGATTAACAATAGGTGCTTACCGTGACTTGCTGATTAGTCGGACTAGGGCTAGGGCTGGGAGTGGAATTTGGCGTAGAGAGCTCTCCAGATGCCGGCGAAGGCGAATTTGCAGTGACACCGCCGACGGTTGGAAATGCCCTCGCTGGATCGGCTTGCCATTGTTTATGGATTTGCTGCGAGGTGTCTCGGAACCGCGCGCCCTGAAACAACGAGCGCATAATTTGTTAGTAAAGATGTTAGAGGAGACGTTTGCCGAGTATTCAGAAACACACATTAGTCATTTTACTTATTCGGATTGTCCGCCTGAACGTAGCTTCCCTAATTTCTCCTAAAATAATAAGGCACTTCGAGCACGTATTATCGTGGGAGTCATTTTGAAAAATTGAGAAAAAGTAAGAATTGCTCAGCCTATCATTTGAAATGTGCTTATCGAAACTTCCTTCTAAGTAAAAGTGCAACGATTCCCGTGCGCGTAAACGCGTACCATTTCACGGCAATTAATATGCGTACGCGTGATCCGGCGCGCTACCGAGCACTTGCATCCTTGAAGAACTAGATCGCCCACATAAGCGTCATATCATCAGATGACACAGTTCGATTAGTCTCGGACATTTGCCTCTAGACAATTGTATCGAGATCGATCGCTCCGCTTCGCCGATCCGACAAGTCTAATTAGAATGGCGAGCCAGCCTACACGATTGCCGTAAATAGGGTCACATTCCCTGCTAAATTCTACATTAAACTGAAATCCCGTTAGCTATCTCGTTTCATATCACCCCGTGAGTGTAACATATCAATCTTAGCTGGTACACGTGTCAAGTTAAAAAAATACTCGTGAAGACTTGAAGCGGATAATCGAGCCGAGTCGCAACGAATTGAAACCTACGGTTAAGAAACTGATGGCCGAAAGAAATAGCCATTGACTTATTCCTCTCTTTTCGACGTCACAGCGCTTGACGGTATTCTTTCTCTTATATGTACCGTGATATTATTTAATGTGCGTGACTTACAATTAATATATATATGGGAAAATATGTGTGTCAATCGTTTACCGTGACGCGTATCCGCCGCAATTAATTTTACAGCGGCTGTCGAGATGACGAGTTGACTGGCTGCCCGGTGCCGCAAGTTCGTAGACCCCGCGGCCGAACTACGAAGGATTGCGTGCGCGTGTGCAATCCTTCAAGAAACGGCGTCGCTCGCGGATGCGATAATTGCGCTTATGCAACGCCTCGCCGTAATAGCAATTAGCGTCGGGGGAGTATAATAGCGGCCGTACAAGCTGCGTCTTTCGACGTGCTCCGAACGTGGCCCGCGCCTGCCAATCGACGCCGCGGCCTTTTTAAGACCCGAGACCCGTACGCGGGTCCCTCCCCCCACTCCCCCGTTCGCGGGGCACGTCGGCGAATTGCGGGGGGGAGTTAATCTAAAATTTTTCACCCGTGTCAAATCGGCGCGCCCGATTGCCACGGTCTCGGAATTAATTTCGCGAGGAATGAGGCTAATTTACATCCGCTACGGCGTTCCCCTTCCAATCGCGGCCACATTGTATGTAATAATATCTCACGTCGCGTCGTGTTATCTCCCGCAGATTCCGTGCCGCGATTAAAAGATGCAATTTTTCCGGAAGCCCCTCTTAGCGCGCGGCATTAAATCTACGGTCGCGCGTAGCACGCGTCGGTCAAAGTGACACTCGCGGAATGGATTGGCAAAACAGTCGGTGTTTGCACAGCTACGTACGTACACGGTGACTCGGAAGTTCTTTCTTCGACTTCTCTTTTCGGAAATATTTCATTCGGTGAGGACGACCGCGCTCGAATATTTCCTCCACAGTTATTACAAGTTACACGTTACAATAATTAATACTGTAGTACAGCAATTTTTTAGTACAATTGAACGTACCTTAAGTTCGCGTAATTTTCAATGTCAATTCTCTGAAAATACGCGAACGTGTCGAAAGCTCAAAGCCCTTATCAGACTACGGATTGCGATTGAGATTAGATTGAAATTTGACCAATCGGAGTAAAAGTCACTAAACTTGAGATTAGTAAACTTTACTCCGATTGGTCACATTTCAATCTAACATCAATCCGTAGTCTGATGCGGGCTTAAGGGATTAAATGTAAATTCACCTCGTTGAGGTGCAGCAAATTTTATGCAATTTTTATCACGAATGTGCAATGGCAGGCGTTTACGTGGGAAAAGAGATGCACGCGGAATCTGCAACTTTCTCCGCATACAAAATTGAATGGAAAGTAATAAAAATCATATGGGAGGAGATTTACGTTTCACCCGATATGTGTGTACCAGGCTGGATCTCGATGTACGCGAATCTCGACGTGCGAGGGACCGAACGGGGACGCCTTCGTGTGCGTCGATCGTACGAGCTCACATAAACGTGCACGATCGAGACTAACGGGCCGCTGTGATTTAGCCCCCGTCTTTCATGACGCTGCGCCGAGAGTGATCCGGCACGATCAAGATCGTCCAGATACGTCCGTGGCATTCACGTGGCGATCCGGGCGATCTACGCGGAGGTCGACTACCGGATACGGTGCAGCGGAACGCGTGCGGGGCGCGATCGTTTTCATCGTAAACAAAGGCGCGGTTTAAATAGCGCTTCAGTTAAATCACGATTTATGGCGGATAAAGCGGCAATGTTGCGAAACAAAACTCTCTCTTCCGTCGCCGTTGTTCGTGTAATAATGCGAATCGCATGGTACCTTGTATGACGTAGCGAAAACTTAACTGTTTATGTTGTAGAATCATTTAGATTCGCAGATAACGTATCAGCCAAGTTCTCTCCGCCTGTATAATTTTAAGTGATGATAAATTTCAGTTGCATTTTAAGCGCAAGTGCTGCCCTTCTTCACGATGATACGTTAAAAAGTCACCAACGGCCGAAATAATTTCGATTTGACGCCAATAAAAAGTTTGCAGTATTTCATGAGAGTGAGAGAGAGAGGGAGGAGAGACGGGGAGAGACAGGCAGAGACCGATGAAAAATATGATCGGTTTTTCGATCAAATTTCATCGGTAACTGCAGTTCATCGGATAAACTTCATCGGATATGTACATAATTTAATCGGAGAAGTTAATCGGAAAAATTAACCATCGGAAATGCTATACTTAATTGGTTTATCCGATGGAAATTTGTCTCAGTATAATATTCCTACGTTACATGCAGATTCGAACGTCATCAGAACATGACGAAAAAATCGTTCATTATCAGCGCGCCGTCCTTCCTCCCTGTATTCTGAATTGCCTATCGCTCGAGAAGATCGACTGTTATCTAACACGTTATCGCGTAATCCTCACATGAACACGCGCGGTCGGCTCGAGCACGCGGCGAAAATTGATTGCATCGCGACGGTAATGCAACGCGGTGCAGTTCCGCTTTTTGTTATATCCGCGGGAAGGGTTACAGAGCGGCGACGTCGTCTCGCGTTTGCGCGCGACGTCGTTTCCCTGCGAATTAAACGCCTCGCGACATTTTTCAGGATCAAGTGTCCGCGCCGGAGCGCGAAAGTGAGCGAACGAGTGCGCCAATTTCGCGGCGATGTACCGTCGTGCGCGGCGTGCAACGTTATCCGACAACCGAGACGACACGCCGCTTCTCTAGTTGAGGTTTTGCGGATGGGAAGTTCTTGGAATTTCGCTGTAATTCGAGGCGTGCTGACAAGTGGGATCACGACGGATCCTGGCTGTCGTATTTCGTATCTTTCAGCTCGCGCTTTTCGCATTGCCAATCGAAAAAATATGCCATTCACTAAAACTCGTCCACGCCTGAATTAGCGTCATATTCGGTAACTTGAAGACTCTGTCAACGGGACACCGTTTACTTCATAATTAAAATAATTAATTTCAAGTAACGTATATTAAAACAGAAAGCCCAGAAGACCCGGACGAAGGTAAGATATGAAACATTTATTACGCTCGGAGGAGTAGCTGGAGGAGCACTGTCTCTTCTCCGTTCGCTCGAAAGCCACGTCATGACGCGTTCGTTATTCCCGCCGTCATTAAAATGAGAAACGCTGGACGCGCCGGCCAAGTGTTGGCATGCCAATCGCGAGCCCCGTCCGTCCTCGAGCGCGCGATGCCGCGAGGACTAATCGCGCGATCGCAAAAATCGCGGGGCGCGTCGAGGAGGAAGCGATCGCGCGCCGAATTGAAGTCCCTCCCGATGCCGCGCCGCGTCTCCTATCGGGCGATCTTACCGCGTACCTCGTCGAAGAGGTCGTCCAGTTCTTTCCGTGGTATCTTGGCCTTCATCCCGCGGGCATTCCTCGCGTCCAACTTCCCCGACGTCTCTTTATCTCGTCCGCTGCGCGGAAGAGACCGAGCGGGAAGCAATGTCGGAGAGGAGAAAGAGGAGAGCCCGGTTCCCTTCGTTTCTTCAAACCTCACGAGCTGGACCTCGCGGTTCCCCCCCCCCCTCTCTCTCTCTCTCTCCCTCTTGTCTCTGCGGATGATCCCGAGAGACGCCGCTCTTTCTTAGACGCACAAATAGTCGATGACGCGCGGCAAAGTGCGAGAGAAGGTCGCGCGATAATGGCCACGACGACGCGCGGCCGGTTCTGCACTCTTCATCGTCGGGGACGTCGTCGTTGCGCCAACCGGTCACGTCGGTTCATCATTCATCGCCGGCTGCTCGGTCTCCGTTCGACTGGAGCGCGCGCCCGGAGCGGCTCATACGAAATTACACTGACACACGACACGTCGCATCCGATTTTTCACTCGGGTTCTCGTCGCCGTTCTCGTTCCCTGCTTTATCAAAAATTAATAAAGCGCATGCTATTACAAAATTACACACGATGTTTTAATGCTATTATTATTAGCACGTTATTATTTTCACTTTGTGGATCTAATTAAAGCTCGTACATATTGTTATTTAGCCGGCGTTTAATAAATTGAGGGAAACTTTGCTCGGCGTAGAAAATGTATACGTGAAATAAATATCTTTAATTATAAATAATACGTATGTAATATCTCGATAATTACTGAACGCCGATAATTCGAAAGCTGGCGGCGCTTTTCGCGTGCCGGCGATATTAAGTATGAAAATTTATCGGCCCGTTCGGCAAACCTGTAGTAACATTTTTCTCCCGCGTCCTGACTTCGACGTACAAATCCACGCCTCGAATTCGCGTGACTTCGTCGATAAACCGCGGGAATCCCTTCAAGAACTTTGAAAACGACA